GTGGACTAGCCGTTGCTTGCCTTCGCGATCCACGCGAAGAATTTATCTGAGAAAAGCTCAACGATGCCTCGGCGATGCAACAATTGTGACTACCAGCCCAATATCATTTATTAAATATAAATAAACAGATAGGATGAAAACATTATTGCTGTATTGCGAATATTTTGTGGAATGAAGAATTTTATCTATTTTAGTACCTTTTTCTTCAAGGAAATAATAGCAAGGCATACGAAAGTTATCATCGGTTATTTCAAAAAATAATCAAGTATATCCATAGCGGAGCAATAGTAAGCCTACCACAACGTAAGAAAGTTGATTCAGGTCTTATACATTATCGGCTTTTTCACGAAGTGTCCTAACCAACGTTTAGTAAATTTGACAGCAGAGCAAGAAAATGAAATCAACGTGTTGTGGTATGAGCATTGTATGTAAAGTTTAGATATTTCCGAATTGAAAATTTCAGTGTATAAGCCCATATTCATTGTCGATCATATGTTTAAATATTTGCGGTAGCTTATCAAGTTATTTTGGAAAAAAATGTAAAACGCACGTAGGTCACTTCGTGAGAATTTTCAGAAGCTTTTTGTGAGATATATTTTTATTAAAGTTCTTGTTATTATACTTTTTTAAGATATACAGAATTTGTTTCATTTACGTATGAGCAAAGAATCATATTTCCAGCCAAGGGGGCGATTATCTCAGAAAAGTTGTTGATTTTTTAATTTTTTAAGTAATCGTTGGTCTACAGACAGCAGAGTTTATGTAAAAAAGTTCAGATCGACTTTGAATTTTGGCTACCCTCTACAAAATCTCCCTGAATGTAATGCCTAAAATTGATGTAGATTATGACACAAATATTAGGTAATGAGGTGAAGAAAACAACTCGAAATGTCGAAGCAATTTTTATTGAAATAAAAACTAAAAGAAAAACAACTAATCTAAATAATTATCTTTTGACATATTACCAGCTAATGATGATGCAATATGATACACAAAAAAACAAAGGCAAAATTATTAATAATTCATTCCGTTTCATGGGACAAATTTCTGAAAAGTTTTGGAATTCTGGAAAGCGTACGACGGGTGTTGGATTTTCACACAACGAAATTAAGTCGGAGTACTTCTTTTTTGTTATTTTTACTGGTTCCTTATTAAGTTGTTCTAGTTCAATATCATTTATATTATTACTACTTCTTATCAGTCTTTTCAACTCAATACTGTCATAACTGGTATCGTGGTGGCTAGACTTAGAAAATATTTTGGTGGGCATGTCTTTTCTTATCAAAAACTCCATAATTCCCGTCCATATAATATTTTGCCCTTTCTCAGTTTGCCGTATGGACAACATTCTTAAATCTTTCGAAAGTTTCTTGAAGTCAAAAAATTCAGTGGGATTACTAAATAAGGTTGACGTCTTCTGGCCAATTGAAAAACTGGATAGAGTTGTGAGGGTTCAAAAAGATCTCCCTTTATCGCGGTATGAATTGCACTGTGGGCAGAGTCTCGCTCACTTTGGCCATGATTCAACCACCGAGGTGCGTATACTAACAAGGATTATTGCACACTAAGAGACCTATCTTCATTTAGGTCTCTTCCTAAGAATTATCTATTAACCTTTGCATATAAGACACCCAGTAGCGAATGGTGTGTTGCCTACACTAATAGATATATACGAGGGATGTCTTTTAAGCTTTGCATATAGAAACATAGTAAACTCAAATTCAAAGCTTCACAACAATACATGCAGTGTTCTCACTACAGTGAAAGTTTAAGTGTCACCAAGTCATTAGAAAAATGGAACTCAACCGAGAACATTTTCGCGCCATAATTTATTACAACTTTCAGAGGCAATTATCGCAACAAGAATGCCTTGCTGAGTTACGGTCTGTTTTCGGCAACGAAGCGCCACATCAGTCGACAATTTCCCGTTGGTATGGAGAATTCAAACGTGGAGGGGTGAGTCTTAGCGACGATCCCAGGGTGGGTGCACCGAAAACGGCAGTCACCCAGGAAAACGTCGATGCTGTGCGCAAAGTCATCATTGAAGATAGACAGACATGTGACATATCGCGAGATTGAGGCGTCCTTAAAGATCTCAAAGACCTCAATTCAAAAAATTTTACATGATGAATTAGGAGTAAGAAAATTATTTTCTCGTTGGCTACCCCACCTGTTGACTGAAGAGCAGAAAGCAGCCAGGGCTAATTGGTGTCAAAAAACGCTTGATTGTTCCAATTCCGGAAACTCAAAAAATGTGTACAGCATTGTTAGTGGTGATGAATCGTGGATTTACTGTTATGAACCAGAAAATAAACGACAGTCGGCTGTTTGGGCGTTCCAAAGTGAAGAAAAGCCAACAAAAGTCATCCGTTCTCGAAGTGTTTCGAAAAAGTTGGTCGCGGCATTTGTGTCAATAGCGGGTCATATTGCAACAATTCCTCTTAACGAGCAAAGATCTGTTACTGCGGATTAGTATACCACCATTTGTTTGCCAAAAGTCATCACCGAGCTTCGAAAAATCAATCCCGAAAGAAGAATCATCCCCACCAAGACAATGCAAGCTCGCACACAGCACAAAAAATAAGGCAGTATTTAACGGAAGAAAACGTGGAATTATTGGACCATCCTCTATATAGTCCCGATGTAAGTCCTAACGATTTCTTTACTTTCCCGAAAATTAAAAACAGACTGCGTGGTCAAAGGTTCCAGTCACCAGACGAAGCAGTTGACGCATTTAAAAATGCCGTTTTGGATCTGCCAGCAAACGAGTGGAATAAGTGCTTCGAAAATTGGTTCGAGCGCATGCAGATGTGTATTAATCTTCGTGTGAGAATACTTCTAAAAACAATAAAGTCATTTAAAACTACCTACCGTGTTGTTTTATTTCTATATGCAAAACTTAAAAGACGTCCCTCGTAGTTATATGTCTTCGTCAGATTAACCGGCATGGAATGAACCTATATGAGGGTTATCTCAATTGTTGGTATTTTGTCAGCTAGGACACTTCGTGAGAAAGGCGACGCATGATGCGTATTTAAAGTCCATAATTTAATTGTTTGCCAAATGAATGTTTTTTTCACTGATATTATGCATTCTATTCTACGGCGTTATGCTAGGGTACAATGATTTTCATATCTGGCAAACAATAAACATACCAGAGCCTTGAAAAGATGCCTCAGCACATGATGCATAAACAAAGTTCATTTGATCAGATTTATGTGGGAAGTAGAGAGTCAGTCTACTTGACGCCATCTCTTACTTGTAGATTTAAGGCGTTTTTTTGTTCTCGCAAATAAATATTTTTTGACGACTTAAGTTAGGGGCAGAAAACATTAGATAGGCTTGAAAAAATTGATGATAAAAGCAAAACCTCGCATTGCTAGGATACATTTTCCGACTGATTCTTTTGAAAATCTAGTTTGTTGCTTGAATAGTTTTACTAAACAGATTACAATAATGTTTTTTTTTCGCTACAATGTTTTTTTAGTTTTGTCGAGTCATTCAGAACAAAACTGACGATTTTCGGTTTAAAGTATGTAAAATCATTAAATCAATTATTTTTTTGTAGCCGACAAGACCCCGAGAAGTATTTTAGGCTTAGATTATTATAAAGCGTTTTTAATTATTTAATTGCTGATGCGTTTTTCAAACGTTGAATCACATATAACATCGGAAGCGGCGACTTTGAGAGGAAGGTAACCAAGAACCTTTTTTTCAGAATGATCAGAACCCTAGAAAAAGGTGATTGTAGCGAATAAACCAATTGTTTTTGTAATCTGATAAAGAATGATTAAACGTTGCACCGAGTTACCACCCGGAAACCTTTTGATTCATGATGAGGGACATCAAAAATCGTGATTATTAAAAAATTAGTCAAAAATGATCGATAAATTTGAAATATATAGTTCAACTCGGGGTATAACTAACATCTCTTCAGAGCCAGTACTACAGATCACAGAAGAAATGGATTGGCTTATCAGCTCTCCTATATACTTTCTACTGTGTCTAGCATTGATCCTTTGATCAGACTCGATAGCCTTGACTCAGGACCTTGCATGTAGCTTTCCGCTGTTGAACATGTGGTTACTACTGTCTGAAACCGTAGCCTGACAGGCCTTCACAGTGATACGGGGTTTCCTCATGCTCTCTACAGAAATGGCATGTGGCCTCTTCTGCCAGACCCAAGAGTCTCATATGTCGATTCAGACGACAGTGTCCTGTCAGGAGACCCACTATGGCCTGTATGGCCTTCCTACTGAATCCGAGTAGGTCCTTTGTAAATGCGGGCCTTCGTTCTTTGATGAACTCTTTTTCCTGTCTTTGCCCCAATTTGCTGTTCCACCATTCTAGGGCTTTTTTCTTGGTCCAATTTCTTATGGACTGTTTAGTGCTTGTTCTCGTCACGCCACAAAAAGGCTCTGGACCTATAAGGCGATTGGCCGCGTACCATATCGGGCTAGCTCATCCGCCTTCTCATTTTCTTTGTGCCCTTCATGTTCTCGTACCCAGAGCATCGTTACCTTATTTCGGTTTCCCAGCTTTTTGAAAGTGTTCAGACAATCCCATACTAGTTTAGACGATATTTGCGATGAACTTAATGCCTTCATGGCTGTCTGAGCAGATAGTGATCGACTCATTTGCTGTCTCACTCCTTATTAGCTCTGTTGCGCAGACTTATATGGCCGTTACTTTAGCATGAAATATTGTTGCAATATTGGCTAGACTTATAGAGATTTCAGTTTTTGGCCTTGCCCCATAAATCCCCGTCTGTGTACCAGTAGCTTTTGGCGTTTATAGGAGGTCCTTTCTCCCTCGCCTTCCTTTCTGGTACTATTGTTTGATATTTTTTGTATTTAATAGCCCCACCGCTCCCGACTGTGTATTCTTTGTCCACCAAGTCACTGATCCATAGGTTACCCTGGGTCTCAGAACCATAGTGTATAACCACATGATCATTTTTTTAGTTTAACCCTTAATTTCTCCCCCACATCTGTCTACACCTTCCTAGGGCTATTGCAGCCTTCTGTGCTGTTCTGATGATGTAATAGTTCCACGTTAGTCTTTGGTCAAAAATGACTCCAATATATTTTGCCTCACTGGCATAGGGGATCTTTACACCATGCAGGGTTAGTGGCGGGAGGTCTTCCAGTACCCGCCTTGGTGGAGCCAGTATCAAATAAAGACCAGATATTTTCTCCTAAAATTTTTGTCTAATCGTTATATTACGATAAAATATTATTTATATCAATGATAATACGTAAAACATAGTCCATTGATTCAACTACCAGGCTTTTAGCGAAGCACTTGCGCTTATCAGTGCCGACTGAGGTCATAGTGTATGTTTGTGTATACAGGGTGTTTCAAGTATGGCTTTCGGCATTGGGATTTCGGAAATGATGAGATAGAGGATTGGCTAAATTTGTTTTGAAACACATCCTAGTGTTGGCGAGGGAGGCGACCTAGAGGTCACGCTGCGTAGCTGCCACCGTATCAGCCGTATAAATGATACAGGGCCTCCACGTAGAAAAAAAATCCGTAAAGTGTTTTTCACAATCTCACTCAAGTCTTTAGGCCGTACCTTAAGTTAAAAATTCTCAAGTGCTAAACCTTAGATTGTACGGCTAGGTGATAGTCTAATATCATTATGATCCCTATAGATTACAACTGCAACAGCAGCCGAAAGAAGCTTTTCGAAATTAAAGGCAAATAAAATATAAAGAAACAAAATGTTTGAGCTCTATAGTGTTTTTGAATATGTCCTAATCTGAAGCAATGAGAAACGATGAAAGCAAATTTTCGAAAGTTTTAAAAATTGCAACCTCTCCGCAAAGATGTTAGATTACCCTTAAAAATATTCAAAAATTTGTAAAGGATACAAAAACAAGTTTTTGGACGATCTGAAAGCTATTTTAATTTTTACTGATAACACCGCTGCCATTCAAACGTTTTTCAAAAATGACATTACCCACATGAATTTACGTAGAACAAAAAACATTTATTTGAATTTCTAAAATTTTCGTATCCACAGTATTCCCTCCCGCCCCGAAAAACTCGCTCTCCATAAAGCTTTGAGTGTGGATACACTTTTACAAAAAGTTATCGCTTGCCCATGATCCACCCCCTCTGAGTGACATACTCTGACTAGTTCATATTTGAATTTGTAATTTGAATAATTGACTTATTCCTATATTGACAGTCAGGTCTGATGGCACATTAATAAAGTTGAATGTTTTTAAAAACTACTTAGTCCATTTTTTCCAACATGCCTGTTTTACTGAATACGCTTCATTAAAAGTAGATGCGATATTATGCAAATAATACCACGCCATGCGTCAGAAAAAAATGACGATTTCAACAATGTTCGGGTTATTACCGAAAATACAAAATTTTCCAAAAAGTTATCGCTTGCCGATGATCCACCCCCTCTGAGTGACATACTCTGACTAGTTAATATTTGAATTTGTAATTTGAATAATTGACTTATTCCTATATTGACAGTCAGGTCTGATGGCACATTAATAAAGTTGAATGTTTTCAAAAAATACTTAGTCCATTTTTTCCAACATGCCTGTTTTACTTAATACGCTTCATTAAAAGTAGATGCGATATGCAAATAATACCACGCGATGCGTCAGAAAAAATGACGATTTCAACAATGTTCGGGTTATTACCGAAAATACAAAATTTTCTAGGAAGTGCTTTTTGATTTACAGTAGTGGACAAAAGTTTGGAAACATTATTAGTAATTTTTAAAGAGTGCGCTAATTTTTTATTCTTTATTATTAAGGACTATTTTTTCTAATATATACTAAGTGACATATAAATCCGAACACCCAGTTTAAATGGTTTTATTTTAATAAAATTTTGTATAAGTACTTAATGAAGCATAATAAGTAAATGATAAAAATTTCAAAATGATTGCACTGCTTTAAAGCCCTTTGACCTTTAATAATGTGTGGATGCACCCTGATGTGCTACGCATTCTCCAACGCGCCTAGGCATGCTTCTGATCAGGTGGTCAATGTCCTCCTGTGGTATCTCATTCCAGGCAACCACCAACTCCTCTCGAAGTGCTTCTAGAGTCTGAGGAGGACGTTGCAAATTGAGCTATCTCCTACCCATCATATCCCACACGTGCTCAATTGGGGATAAGTCGGGAGATCTTGGTGGCCATGGTAACAATGTGACATCATTATGTTGAAAGAAGTCTATTGTGACTCTTGCAACATGTGGTCGGGCATTATCTTGTTGGAAAGTTGGATCTGCCAGGGTGTCAAGATAGGGTAAAAGATGGGGTTGTAGAACTTCGTGGATATAACGCTGCGCGTTCGTGTTACCTCTGATGAAGATTAAAGGTGACCTGGAACCATAAGCTATAGCACCCCAAACCATAACTCCAACAGTGTGATGAACATGTCTTTCAACAAAAAACTGTGGATTCCTCCTTTCACCACGTCGCCTTCTAACCCTGGCACGACCATCGTGCATGCCTAAACAAAATCGAGACTCGTCACTAAAGACAATACTGTTCCATTCCTGATCCCAGAGTGACCGTTGTCTGCACCACTCAAAGCGATTACGTCGGTGTTCTTGAGTTAAAGGGAGGACCCAGTGTGGCCGGTATGAAAACAAGCCAAAACTTCTCATTCGTCGGTAAACACTTCGCATGCCAATAGGTCTTCCGTGTTCTGCAAACCATTCATTTGCAATGGACCTGGTAGTGGAGAAACGGTCCCTTAAGGCCAATAATCTTAGGCGGCGATCTTCACGGTCTGTTGTTCTACGGCGGCGTCCAGTGCCCCTTGCTCTTTGCGTACGGCCTTCTCGAAGCCATGCCTGACAACACCTAACCACAGTGTCTACACTTCTTTGCACTCTAACTGCAATTGCCCGAAAAGAAAGTCCAGCTTCCCGAAGTCCCACTATACGGACCCTATCAAACTCACTAAGTTGACGAAATCGTACAGGTCTCCGTACTCTAAGCATCGTAACCGATCGTAAAGGATGTCAAGAACCAAAATCCGCCAACGTTCATTCTTTACTGCGGCTGAAATATTCATTTTTAGAGCGTTAGTTAATTAAAAAAAAGCAGTATAAAAACCGGAATGTCCAACTGATAAGGCTGAAAATTTTTTCACTTGATATTTACAGTAAGATAAATACATTCACCAACTTTTATTAAAATAAAACCATTTAAACTGGGTGTTCGGAATTATATGTCACTTACTATAGTTTGCTTACAGTCTTGAGGATACAAATGACAATTTGTGTTTGCTGTGGTACTACAGTCTAGCATTAAAATACATTCATATTATTTTATAACGAAAAATGAGACGACAAAAGTATGAAAAAAATATTTTTTACAAAATTACTTACAATAACTCTACAAAAAGATTTAAAAAATACTGTTTATCTAATATTTGGTAGTATAGCCTTTAGCATTCAACACTGCCTGATATCTACTGCCCATAGAAGACACCAATTTTTTACAGACGTCTGTTGGGATAATTGGCCAAATATTTTTTACATAATCAAATGAATCGTTACTATTTTTAAAAGTGTTATCCACCAAGCGTCTCTGCACTATTCTAACAAAAAGATTTTCGGCACCCTCTTCTACGATTCTTTTGAAAATCTGGGTGGCTGGCATTCGAGGATCTTCATGGGACAAACGTTTAATATCCGTTTAGTATCCAAAACATAATCGGTTTTTTCGGTTTTCCGCACTTGGGCCACGCTGCTGTTGATCCGTATTCTTGATATTTACTAATAATTTTCGAAATCATCCCTTTGTTCATTTTTAATCTTAGAGAAATGTCAACATTTCTGACACCACTTCTAAATAATTCAGTTACTTTGTCTCTTATATCTCTTTGAAAGCTCTTTCACTTTTGCCATTCTCACCGATGGTAATATTTACCGCACGCAATATCAGTATATAGCGGAATGAATAAATACAGCAACACTGAAATGTTTCCATACTTTTGTCGTTACAAAAACTGTGGTATTTAAAAAAAGGCGTGACATTCTGCTTCGTTATTTTCTACCACTTTACTTTTACATCTCAACCCACACACTTCTTTAACTAAACATTCGGTCCAAGATTGTGTCGAAAGCCTGACATCGGCTTCGGGCAAAAAATTCACCTTTGGTCGGATCCTACAAATTACCTTTCACATCAAAATTAGTGACGTTAGTTTTTTTTTGGCTACAAACGAATGTTTTGTCTCTCAAGTTTGAACCTCTTCTTTTCGAATAGGAGATAAACACTAAACACACACCTACTTGTTGAATTTATTCATTTTTTTCTTAATTTACCCGAAGTAATGTGACCTTGAGAGCTTTCGCGACTCGTACGTCTATGCGGAGTTTAGATTTCTAAGGACAAAAATGGCTGACACATATACTCGCCTCCATATAAACTCTTGGCTGTGCCAGTGTATCCAAGAGAAAACATCTAGTGGTGTACAAAATATTTTGACATGGGGGTAGACATAGACGTACTTGAAATAAAATACTCAGAGGTGAAGTAGTATTACAAGAATACTATTAACACAAATAATTCGTGGTTAAGAACCTAGGATCTGTTGTGTTTGAATTGTAATTGCGAAAAGTTCCGAAAATGCGATATTATGTTTTTTTGGATGTACATGTGCATGTCCCGATCCTTAGCCCGTCTAGAATTTGAATGACATTTTTACACAAAGTTATCTTGTATTATTCGAAAATCGGTTCAGTGGCGGCGGAGCTAGGGGTAAGAAAAAACTAAAAAAAAATCTGTCAAACTTCGTTTTGTGATGGTTCAGAAAAATGTTTTGTAGGGTTTCAAGGTTGAGCGTTAGAGTTGTAAGGTGTGGCGGATTGTATATCTCAATTTTTTGGCTTTTAATATTTTTATATGCTTTCAAGTCTGGCAGTTCTATGAACCTATCAGGATTTCATTCATCATAGGTTTCCCCCGTACATTTTCCTTTAAAACTAAGAATTATAGAGAAATACTTTGAATACATGCGCATATAGTGCATGCGTATAGAAACGTACCAAATGATAAATGAATGTTCTTTTGTACGATACCGGAGAGGATTGTCACTACAGTCTAAAGCTTCAAAAAAGCTCAACATATTACGCAGTGTTAGGTGCATACCAGAACATTCTAGTGAACATTGCGATGGCTAACACGTTTTGAATCAAAATTTC